CCCCCCGGAGGAATGATACACAGCCTGTCCCTGAGCAGTGACCGCTGCTCCCCAGCCAGCTCCCCCAGTTTATATACTGAGTATGACTCCATGTGGAACAGAAAACCCCTTTGCCCAGTTTGGGTCAGCTGTCCCAGCTGTGTCCTCTCCCAGCTTCCTGTGCACCTGGAAGCTGAAAAATCCTTATCTGCCTAGCAACAACTAAAAACATCAGTAGCTTGTCAACATTATTTTCATCCCAAATCCAAAACACAGCACTACACCAGCTACAAGAAAGAAAACTAACTCTATCTCAGCCGAAACCAGAACACTAGTACACTAGTACACGCAGAAGCTCCTGGCCCACCGCCTCCCCTGGGTGTCACAGCTCGGTCTTCACCTTGTGTATCAAGTCCTTCTGGTCGATTTTCTCCAGGTCCTGATGCCAACGGTTGTAAGCCAGCAGGGCCACGTTTTTGGCCGCCACTGCTATCATCTCCATGGAGCTGGCCACCCACTCCATGCCGCTGAGGTAGAAGAGGTTTTCATGGAGCACGATGGGTGGGAGTGACTTGGCGGAGTCGTAGCGGGGATATGCCTGCGACTCCGTCACCTGCACCGAGTAGTAGGACCTGAAGAGGGTCTTCAGCTGCTGCTTGTCCAGTGGCTGCTGGGAGAGGACGCGCCACACCGCAGCCTCCTGGGGCTGCTTGCGACGGAAAGTCGCTGAGATGTTGACAGGACAGATGTTGTCCACAGCATTGAAGAAGAGGTCAGGGGTGTCGGTGGTGAGGATGCTAGTGAAGGGGAAGAGCTTGGGGTCGGGGAAGCCGAAGTAGGAGGAGTTGAGGTAGCCATGCACCACAGAGGTGACAGAGGGCTGGAAGGCGCCGGGGAAGTCAGCGATGGGCGGCTCGAAGTTTCTGAAGGTGAAGTTGCTCCTGCTGGGGTGCAGGGGAGTCGTCACCACCACCATGTCATAGAAAACTGAGCCCTGGCCTTCACTGCCCTCGTAGTGCACCTGGTACAGGGCTTTCCCCTCTGAAAAAGAGATGGTGGACAGTTATGAGTAGCCCTGAGCTCCAAGCTGTATTGCCCTAGCCCCCTTTTTTCTAGCACAGCCTCAATCCCCTGGTTTTCCAGTACACACCAGCACCGGACCATAGCATTTGGTGGTTATCTTGAGTTGCTGGTTCTTTAGGGCAGTGGAATGAACGGTTTTATCAAGCCTGTGGAAAAAAGTTTCCAGAGAAGCCCAGCCTAGTGGAGCAAGGAGGACTGGGACAGAGCAGCCCACCCTACAAACCCCAGCTATCCAGCCCTTCTGCTGTGGTGGATGGGGAAGCAAGCCTGCATCAAGGATGGGGCCATAGAAGAGACCTGAGGGACCTCAGGAGGGAGGGAGGGGAACTCCAAGGCTGAGATCTGTACCACAGGGCCCCCGCTGGACCAGACAAGGGGAGGAGACAGACAGGCCCCTGGGCTCTCGCCCAAATGCTTTACCAGGACCAGGATGCTCTCCAGCCTCCCAATGCTCCCTCCCTTCTCTGACATCCCCGTGCTGCCAACACCCACCTCCCGTCCCAGTGAGTCCAGACCCACGCCCAGGCTGGCAGCACCCAAAGCAGACCCTGTGCCCAGGCTCACCCGAGCTGTGCAGAAAGATGCCCGTCACCCTGGCCGGGATGACATTGGCTTTGGTCAGCTTCAGCAGACCCGAACACACCAGCTTGTTGCCTCCTTCCACTGCCCAGGTGCTGCCCTGGGCCCCCGCCAGCGACATGGCTCCTGGGGAAAGGAAGAGGAGGGTGGCTCAACAACCTGCCCATGGGAAGGAAAGTCACACAGGGAGGAGAGTGAGTCACTAGTTTCACCTGCAAAGGCGGGCACCAGCACCGACTGTCCATAGCTGGAGCGCAGGACGGCCGCGATGACATCGTCCACAAAGCGCTGTGTGATGCCCACCTCCAGCAAGGACTCAGCCACCGAGCGCTGTGTCATGTTGATGAAGGCATCCCCGCCCAGCGAGCGCAGTAGCTCCTCCAGGCTGGAGAACGCGTAGCCATGTGCCTGGTACTTGTAGATCCTGGAGTGGACAGGAGCACAGGGCCCCTGGTGATGATCCAGTGCCAGGGAAGACCCCCTGCATCCTCCCAGCCCCGCAGGCTCTCCTACCTCATGAACTTCTCCATCACCTCCTCCACCCACATCTGCAGGCGTAGGAAGCTGATGCCATAGTGCCACCAGAGCCGGAAGAGGTTGAGCAGATACCAGTCGGTCTCCTCCAGGATGAAGTGTGCCCCACTGAATATGGCACTCTTCCCTGCCACCTCGCGCCGGTGCTTGAGGCCTGCAGGGAGCAGAGGGGCCCCAGCCCCGCCAGGCTCACACACCTCCCTGAGGCTGGCTGGCTGCTGGGAAAGGCCAATGCCGAACATCGTCGCGGCGGAAATGTGGGCAAAGATGCTCTTGGAAGAGTATCAGGGAGTGAGAGCCCAGGGCACTGGGACCCCAGCCAGACCCTGCATGCTGGGGCATCCCATGGAGTTGACATGCTGCTGGCCGGGACAAACTGCTGGGATTTTGTGAACCCCCTCCCACACACTAATTCCACCATTACCCCTCGCTCTGATGCTCTGCTGGGCTGCCTTGTCCCTTTCTCTTTCAGGGCACAACAGGGCTGGGGCGCAGAGACAGCAAGGGGGGCCCTGCGTACCCGGGGTGCCGAGGTGGGCTGGAAGCAGCCTTCCCCACGGCCCCAGGGTGCAGGCCCCCGGCTCAGGGAGGGAGGCCATACAAGCGCTGGGGTGCCCATGCTCACCCAGGATCTTGACGAAGTCCTGCATGTGGAGGCTGAGGGCGTGGATGGATGCTCCCCTGCTCTCGTACTGCTGCTTGTTGACTGTGACAGTGGCCAGCCGCCCGCCCACGCCCACCGGCTCGTACACGTCCAGCTGCACCTGCGGCCCGAAGTGCTGCT